GGTGCATTTGAAATTAATATGTTAAATTTGATTTAAGTATTATTTTGGAGTATCCATGTGATGCTAGTTTTGATATTTGGAGTTTGGGAGTTTTTAATAGAAGCATCTGTATAGAAATATAAGTTGTTTGAGTTTAAAAGTAGGATTTGGTTATAGAGATTTATAATTTGATTTTGGTGAAGTTGGTTTGTAATTGTATTTTGGATAAGAGATATGTCAGGTAATAAGATTATTATTTCTAGTAAAATATATGTTGTAGATGTTGAGAGAGAGGGTATATTTTATGTAGGGCTTGGATTTCTTGTTAAATAATACTTAGTCTGAATTGTTAGTTTTCTTTCTGTATTTTGCATTTGATATTAGTTAATTAGTTATAGTTAATATGGAGTTGGTTTGATATATATTGTGAGCATACAACTAGTCACATGTACAACTTTAGATTGTCTATTTAAGTAGTCTGCTCGAAGGTTCTACACTAGTTGCAATACCTGAAATCTATTTGAAGATTCCTTATTTAAATCTTCTGGCCCTATGACTTACCTATTTATCTATTTATACCAAGCCAGCCTAACCCCGTGCTACTTCTCCAGGAAGACACCTGAGCTGACATATGCCCACAGACTTTATGATTCGAAGTCTAGGCCCATCTTAGGTACCCCTTCACCAACTTCCAAATCAATGAGCTCTGTAGTACTTAAATATACTACGCTATATCCCAATCTAGCTTGCATATACCTTTGTTCGATGTTCGTACAAACCCAGTTCCTACTGTAGTCTTCTACCAAATTAGTCATCCATGCTTCCAGATATCACATGAAGTAGATCCTCCCAAATCTGTTGCTTGGTGTCGCCTGCTTTGCCACTGAATATCATATGAGACAGATCCTTCCAAATCCAGTTAGCCATCAAGCCAAGTTGGTGTTGCTATACAACCTCGTATAACGGACTTACTTGTACCTTTTTCGTTGATCCTTCTGTACTCAGGACTTACTCATATCTATTTCACCAATCTTTTCATACGCAGATTTCCTTTTCCAGATCAGACGTTAACTAGTATGACCATTGAAATCCGTACTACTTTACCTAACTCAGGATTTCTACCATGCAGGTCCCCTGCTCATAGATCCTATCAAGATTTATTCATGTAACATTATGCCTCACTAAATGCCCCGTCACACTTCCAATACCCCGATTGGCATTGGTGCAACATGATTTATAGGGTTACAACCCCAGAAACAAGCAGAGTTAACCGTAAGTTAGATACAGATGTCTAGATAATTATTCAATTCTGTATATAGTGGGATTTGAACCCTAGACCTCTTGCATGGCAGTTCGGCAACCTAACTACTACACTAAGATCGCCAGACCTTTAGTTTCTATATTTAGAATGTTAATATTGTTATTATTTTCATTGTTATTTGATATATTGTTCGAGCTAACGTTGTTAACAAAACAATATTTTTTCATTCTTCCTCTATTCTCTATAGTTGAAGTTATAATATTCAAGTAGTTAGTTTTAGAAGTTAGTAGTTATCTTTTATGTGAGTTGTTATCTTTTTTATTTAAGTTTTCTCAAAGAGAAGAGTTTTTAATATTAGTTGTAAAGTTGTTTTTCTTTTTTTCTGTTTTCTGCAATATAGTTGTTGAGCAGTACAGGAAAGAGTTTTTTTATTATAAATTTTAATAATATTTTTTTTTTATTTTTTTTTATTTTTTTTTTTAAGGCAGCTTATATTGCTAAAGGAATTTTATTAGAATTGTCAACAGGATTATACATTGATAATGAAGAGTATATAACAAGCTATATGTACAACTTTAGTTATTGTCTATTTTAAGTAGTCCACTGTATAAACATTAGGCTACCTGATTGGTTCTACACTATGCTGCTATACCTGTAACCTTCTTATGAGTTACCTATTTAAATACTCTATTCATTAACCTATACAGATCTAACCTAACATCACTATAACACCTAATTACTTAAGCTAGCTAGCTTGTTACAGATCTATTTATTCAGAACAGCTTAGATCCTCTCAGGATATATTATATCAGATGCATTGCTAGTATCACAAAGCTAGTTAATCTTAAAGCAAATCTACTAGAGTGGTCTGTACCTATTTTACAGATTCATCTAGCTTAGACTCTTGTGGATATTTGTACAACCCCAAGTTCTACAAAACAACTTCACCTCATCTTCAAGGCTCTATATTAGCAATAGAGATGATAGTAATACATAGCTAGATAAGCTCATGAATAATATAAATACTAACCTTACTAACTTCAATACAAATATTTAGAATTATGACTGCAATAGCTAAATCTCTAGAATCACTCGAAGGAATCTAAGAATTCATAATATACAAACTCCAAACACAACTAACTCTCTATATTATTCTACTTGCAATACTTCTTAAATTCAAATACTTAGATACCTAATTCTTTACATCTTTTATTCATAACAAACAAATTACCTTTGCGCATTAAAAAGAATTTGAGAATATGCTAACTACAGCAACCAATACTTACAAACACACTAATAATATTATAATTATTAACAGAGAGACAAGAAAAACTATTACCAAAATGCTTAAAATATATCTAACTATTCAATTTCTACTTAATAGCAACTTTATTTGACTAGACAACTTTAATATATCTAAAATTATCTAATAATGCAGAGGATTTTTACAATTAGGCAAAATTGAATAGAATAGTTTAAAACAAGCTGTTAACAAAGCACAAACATTACTTCTTATACCTCTACTCAATGACCCTTCTATGATCTCTAATAAAACTAAGAAAATCCTACTATTCGAACTCCCAATTATCAATCAAAATAATACTAAAGAAACTGTTATAACACTAAGAAAGATTTTCTTCTTCATACAACTTCCTGAAACTTATTTTCTCAAACTACTACTTCTTCCAAATGATCATCTCAACCTCAACTAAGAGCTAAAAAAATTCTTTCCAATTACTAAATGGAAAAATCTTAACTACTTATCCTTTTACTATAACAAACTTTACAATTTTTATAACTTTAAAAACAACTTACTAGAGATATACTTCAATCTGCTTGCTTCAAAAGCTCTACTACTAAGTACTTATCATGAACTTATCTATACTATATACATACTTTTTCCACTAAATACCAACAATTTAGAGATAAATCTTACTAAAATTGTTATCCTATTATGAAAAGATTATGCTTTCAAAATGATACTAAATGACTATTTTGTTAGCAGACTACTATTACTATATGATATAACAAAAATTAATACTAATATAGAATTTATTTATCTTATTACAGATGATGAAACTGCTAGAGAATTCTACAAACAAGCAGTTAAAAAATATAAAATTATATTTCTAATTCTAATATATATAATATCTGAACAGGCAAAAAACTCTTTCCCGCACATCTCAATTTTGGATAAAAAATAAGAAAAACAAAAAATAAAAAGTTTTAAAATAATTATATCTATCATTTAATGTCTACTACTATAACTAATTTGTTCTCTTAGGAGTAAATGACTATTGTCTTATACATTTTAAGTATAGAATAGTCAAAATAACAAAAAGAAATAGAAATACTACTGACGACAAAAGTTAACAACTTTCAACAGTAACAAAAAAGGCCGCAAGGCCTTAAGCTTACCCAAACCAGGATACAAGTATGGCTAACAGGAAAGAACATAGTTCAGAGGAAACTCAAGAAGGAATTTATATCTCTAAAATTATTAAAAAGCAAAAAACTTCTGCTTCATTTACTATGGATGAAAATTTTTCTACAAAAAGTAGGCAATCTAGCTCACCCCTGTTAGATTCCAACATTATATCATATGTTACACAAGAAACAACAACAACAACATATCACATGCAGGAATCTAACATAAACAAACAGATGTACAACAATACCGAAATAGAAATGGTCATCTCTAATTAGGATACAAACATATCAAGTGATATTCTACTCATATAAGATCATCAATCAACTGAATATAACATGCTAGATCAAACACAAAGCAACTATACTTCATATAGCAATGCAGTTAGGGGGCTTTCTAACAAAAATATGGACATAATTAATTTTCTCAATTCTGGTAAACCAAGAGGTTGGCAAATGAAAATAGATGAAGTAATTGAGACGAAAATAAAAGAGGAGTTCAATCATAATATATAGAACTATAATCACATTCTAGAAGCACTAACATCAACTGAAGGCATTACAAGATTTGTTACTTATAAGCTGAACTTAATCCCTACTAACATCTACATACCTATTGCAATCAATACAAAATTCAGATACCGGAATACCAAATTCTTTATTATCTTCACAAGAAACAAAAAATTTATGAGTCCACACCAATTAGAATATGAAAAATTATTCACACAAGCTCTCGATAAATATAAGCAAATGCATAATCTATTCACTACCAATAGAGAAACGAGAGACGCGATTCATCTCAAACTTCAGCAAAAATTAATTATCGATTTCATTACCAATACTAAATTTTTAACAAATGAAGCAAAACAGATTACTAGTCTAATCAAATATTGCAAAGAGTTTATTAAAGATACTTCACTTACAGACCAAACAAAAATTTACGAAGCAGTTAATGCAGCCATATAAGCACAACTAATCCCTTTACCTAAATCTCCAGACTTAATCAGTTCAGATATTAAAGAAGCATTACCATTCGATATTTCTTTTAAGAAGAAATCACAAACTCGATCTATAGTAGCTGCTTTACACTGAATATTTATTTCATCAAATTTATAAATCTATCTTTTACTTGGACTTTTTCTTCGAGAGATTTTGTTAAATGGATGTATTAACCATTTAATAGATATTATCTTATGGTCACTGTTAGTTATATAGTTAGCATCAGTAATAATAGGACAGAGAAAACAATTTAGTAAATAGGATGGAATCCATATATCATCAATCTGTAACGAACTGAGTGTTGTTATTATTGTTTTGATCAGACATTACTAGATTAGAAGATTTCCCAAGATGGCTTTGAGAGAGGTGGAAGTTGAAGCAAGAAATCAAGTAATAATTTAAAACTATAATGTTGATGTAAAAAGTTGATAGTTTCCGCAACTTTTTCATGTTGTGTTATTGATAGTTCAGGAATAATATCATTATCAACAATTGCTTGTAGCTCTGTTAAAATTGAAGATGGGGATTCAGGTAAGTCAGGTAAGATAGTATCTCCATCTTCTTTATTTGTTTTGATTTGTTGATTAGATATTGTGTTGTTTTTAGAAATTTCGATCCATTGGTCTGGTATTCTTATAAAGTAATAAGATTCTCTTAATAAACATGCAGTGTCTATTAATTGCCTAGGTGTAGTAATTGGTAGAGTAATATTGTATTGTGATATTTCTTTAGTTGTTACAGGGAGCCACAGTTTGTTCATTGGATTAGCTGTCATAATCTTTTAGTTGACTGGATATGTAATGTTATATCGTTCCTTAGTTTCATTGATAAACTGTTTTGCCTGTTCATCATCAGTGATAGGATATT